ACCTTTCAAGGAGGCCAGCAGCTGGGCGATGTCCGAGCACTTCGCGTCGATCCTCGCGTCCAACTCAAGGTGTGTGGATCCCGTGTCCATGTGCTCGTGTGACGGAACGAACTCGACTCGGAGGGCCTCGATCTTGGCGTCCTGCTGCTTCAAGGCGTGGCGCTGGTTGATGTCCCTGGACATCATGGTGCACTGGTCTTTCAGCTCACTGCACCGTGTAATCGATCCGTGAACCGGCGTGCGCAAGTTTATTGTTTTGTAGCATCATCTGGTTGAAGGAAGACAAGCTTCCCGTCACGCCGTCGGCCGAGCGATCACGCCTAGAATTGGGACTGCGGCTCGCTGATCTGCGATGCGATGATGAATCCGTGGAATCACTCCGACCAGCAGCTCCTCTCCTTTCAGAACGGCGCTTCCCCATGGCGGCAGACTGAAAAACAAAGGAACTGGAGGCAGTAGCGAACCAGCACGGCTCCCACAGGAGCTCACAGAAGCGCAATGGGGTGCGAAGCCTGTGTCGCGGGCCGCTCCACCCGCCACTCCGAAGAAATCCTGCACCACCTCGAGAAATGTGTTATTTGAGCCGAAATGGCTTGGGCCAAAGTTGCTACGGAGCTCCCAAGCCCCACCTTGGGATAACCCTCCCTCTTCGAACCCCCGCGCGGAGCGCCCGAAGTTTATGCTTATGCCGTTTTTTCCTCTTCACTCGGAGTGTCCTCGAGACGTCCTTTTCTATGGAAGTGTTCAACAGTTTCTGTTAATGTCGGTTTTGGTTCTTGTGAGCGTTTTTGATTTGGCGTTTCGACATTGGGAGGAAGGGGGGGAGGAGGGGGGGGGGGTCTGGGTCCCCACCTCTGCTCAGCGAGACTGTTGGCATGAGTGCGTCCTGTGGGGGAGGGTCCTCGCCCGCTCGAAACAGGCGCCAAAAAACAGCCAAGATCTGCTCCATTCGGGGATGGACAGACCCCCCTTTAGTAAAACGTGGTTTAGTGAAAACGACCTGATGCCCACACCTGGCGGGCGCAAGCCTGGAAAATAACGGCCACGGCGCCCCCTCGAGAACCGAAAACGGACAATTCACTAATCGACGTGTCACTGTTGGGGGTTCTGGCCACCCCCGATCCATGGGGGGGGAGGGGGGGGTGCGAGGGCCCGCTCCGATCGGCAAAACACTGAATACAAAAACCGATCACCTTCGATTCCACGGGGGGGGAAAGAGAAGGAGGAGGAGGAGGAGGAGGAGGAGGAGGAGGAGGAGGAGGAGGAGGAGGGGGAGTAGGAGGAGGAGCAGGAGGAGGAGGAGGAGGAGGAGGAGGAGGAGGAGGAGGAGGAGGCACCCTTCAGGGCAGGCGCGCCGGGGGTGGGCGGGAGGGGCTGCCTCCTCCCGGAGGCTGCTGCTGGGCACTCTCCAGAGAAGGCGCCAAGGGTTAGGTTTAGGTCCGGCGTGTCCCCCTACAGGCGGATTTTGGAAGAGAAATCAAGCATAGTCAAGCATATTCGAAAACGGTGAAACATGGTTAAATCGTCCCCAGGTTATCTTTTTTGCTATTCTTGTTTATTCCTCCTGTAGAGGGACGTGCCCGACTTAAAGAGAAGGGGGGGAGCCAGACGGTCAGAATGAGCCTCCAGGGGGGGGCTCGTAGGGACACCCCCAAGGCGCGCTCTAGGACGCCTCCAGGACGTTTCCAGGGCACCCGTGCGCCCTCTAGCCAGGACATCTCCAGGACGCCCGTCAGGACATCTCCAGGACAGCCTCCAGAACACCCTCCAGGGAAGGCGATGGGGAGGGGGGCGCCTCCAAGACACTTCCACGACACCCTCCGGGGACGGCACTGGTGGGGTGAGGTGGCGCCGGACGGTCGGACGGACGGACCGTCGGAATCCGCCACCGTGCTCTCTGGCGCGTCGAGGCGTGATAAAATGGCAAGTGTTCGCGAGGCCACGATCCCTCGCACACAAAAATGATCTACGTCCCGAGCTTCCAGGACGGCCCATGCAGACAACCAAAGACGCCAAAATGGTTAAGATGCCTTGAAGACGGCCCAAGGTGGGCTCAAGAAGGCCCAAGATGTCTCAAGACTGCCCAAGATGGCCCCAAGGGCCACACGAAGCCCTCCGACATGGTCCGAAGGAACCAAAATCTTTGATTATCCTTTGACTTTTTAGCGGATTTTAGCATTCTCGCCCTTTCGGGCCTCCGTGTCAGCTGAACGCTTCCCAAGAAGCCTCCACGGTGGCCCCAAGACGGTCCCAACATGGCCCAAGAGGGCCGCACGATTGCTTCGGAGGCGTCCAAGATGGCCCCGAGACGGCCTCCCGTGGGACATCCGACGGCCTTAGAAGAGCCTTAAACGGCCCAAAACGGCCCCCAGTCTCCCACTATACGGCCCAGAAGGATCCAAGACGGCTCAAGACAGCCCCCAGACGGAATAGAGGGCCCTAAGACGGACCAAGAGGGTATCAAGGGACCTCCAAGACTGCCTCACAGGAGGCCAAGGCAGCCCCAACACAGCCCCAACGAGCTCTTCCTCCTCCTTCTTATCCTCCTCCTCGTCCTTGTCATCACCATCATCATCATCATGAACATCATCGCCACAGTCATCATCCTCCTCCTCCTCCTCATCCTCATCCTCCTCATAATCATCATCAACACCACCTTCATCCTTTTCCTCCTCGCCATCATCACCATCACCATCACCATCATGACCGTCATCATCCGTCTTATCCTCATAGCAGCACCAGCATCAGCAACGGCATCAACATCACCATCATTCTCATTATCATCACCATCACCACCGCACCCCCATCACCATCACCATCACCATCACAATCACCATCTCACCATCACCATCTCACCATCATCACCACCACCATCATCATCATCATCATCATCATCATCATCATCATCATCATCGTCATCATCCCCATCCCCATCATCGCCACCATGACCATCACCAACACCACCGTTATCATCATACCAGTATGTATAAATATATCACCATCACTATCATCATCATACCCATCATCATTATCATGAACATCACCACCATCGCTATCATCATCATCATCATCATCATCATCATCATCATCATCATCATCATCATCATCATCATCATCATCCGCATCCTCATCTTCATGGCCATCACCATCACTATCCTGACCCTGATTCTGACCCTGAATCACTGTTCCCTATTCATATACACCACCTCCCCCACCCAGCCAGCGGCCAATCTGGAACCATGCCAGCCCCATGCGGGCTACACCCCTCACCATCCCTGTCAGAAACGATACAACACGCACTCTGCCTCCACACTTGGAGCATGCTCGGCCAACCCGATGCCCCCCCCTACCATCCCTGCCAGGAAAAATGCTAAGTACACTTTGGGGCAAAGCCTTGAGTCATGTTCGTGAGGCCCGCGAGCATTTTGTGTTGTTTTTGACAGGAACGGCGGGGATGTCAGCATATTCCCTGCTGTGCGCAGGGCTAATATCCCTGACAAAAAGAAAAATACAACATGTATCTCGCGGCAAAATCTGTATCATGCGCGGCCACCCCGCGATCACCGTCAAGTGGTTTTTGACAGGGACGGTGGGGGTGGTGGCGCGTGGCCTGCTGTGCGCAGGCCCACCAGACACAATGATGGGCATTGGTTTTCGACATGATGGTGGGGGCCGACATGTTTCCCGATGTGTGCTGTCACGTGCGCAGGCGCACCTGACGCACTCTGCACGTGCCCCGAACGTGGCGCACCTGGCGAGGCTAGAGTGTGTGTGTGTGTGTGTGT